AAGGTGAATAAAATTCTTAATAGGCAAATGCAGTGATTCTACGAAAAAAAATTGATACATTAAATTTGTGTAATAATTAAACCCATATTTTTTGATAAAATAATGTATTAATAGTTTAATTCACTGAATTTTAAAAAGTATTAGCCGGAAGTATTGCAAATGATGCACGGTTATCAAGTTCAACAAGCGTTGCAATTTCCTAAATGGTACAAGCAAAATTAACATCCATCATAATTTTGACCTCTTTCTTGTGTAAGCAAAATTATCATCCATCATAATTTTGACCACTTTCCCTTGTAAGCAAAATTATCATCCATCATAATTTTGACCACTTTCCTGTGTAAGCAAAAATTATCATCCATCATAATTTTGAGCACTTTCCCGTGTAAGCAAAAATTACTAACTGAAAATTAAATTCAAGAAAATAATGCATTTTAAGAACTATGCTTTTCTAGTGGTCTAAACCGGAGAAAAAAAAACTTTTTGAACAGGGAGAATCAAAACAGGGTAACAGGGAAAAATAACTTTAAAATTTTTGTCCGATTTAAAATGAAAAATTGGGGCCAAAGCATCACTTTCGTACAAGATTTTAATACCATCCATAATTCCCTGTCTTTTAAATGTGCTGTGTCCTACGTGTTTATTTTTGATCTGACAAAATAAATTTTTTTCTCCATCTCAGTACACTTGAAAAGCTCAGTTTTCATTTTATTTTTTTATATTATATTTTTTTTTTCTTTTCAGTTTTGCGAACGTTGATTGGAGGAAAGTGTTTGGGCGTGTTTAGGTAAAGGAGTATGAAAAATACGGCCAAACGAATTAAATTTAATTCGGCGAACAACGAAACAAATAGTGTCAAGCTACAATCTATAACGGGGAAGAACTTAGAAAAAATATATTTACGACTCATCGTAATATTGACTTCATATTAATATTGACAATTTATCCTCATTTCGAAAATTAGTCGAAATTTTGATTGACGATAAAGTTTTAATCGCAAATCGAAATCGCAAGCAAATATTCTTTGAAGATCGCTTGTAGCAGTCATGAAACGGTTAAACATGGTTTAAACATGAAGCTTAGTTAAATTAAAGCTTTGGGCTAGCTATTCGAAAGCGAATTAGAATTTTAACTGACAACAAAATTAGTATTTTTACGATAAAATTACAAAAACTATTTCTTTTTCGCTGATATCAATCAGAAAACGATCGAACCTTATGCACAGAGGTGTAGTTTAAATTCCAGCCATCTAGCCATCAAAAAAAATATCAGAATTTTTAATGGAGATAAAAAGACGAACCAAAGACGATTGGAACTTTCATTATCCATCAATCAGCGAAGTGCCATTTGAGAATTTTAGATTTTCGGAGAGTGGTTGAAATTTAGATTGTAGCATTTAATAATCGCAAACATGTCTGTAAAAAAACCTGACCTTTAAAGAGGTGATTTTCCCCACCTATGGTTTGTACTGTCATCAGTCGATAACTTCAGAAAATATGTAAAGAAAAAGATGAAAGAGTTTGTTTGCATAAATGGAGGTAACAGTAAATATTAACCTGGGGAAGGGAAGAGGGGCCAACTTGAAGGAACTTTTTCCTTTGTACGCAAGCATTCACCCACTTGATCATTTCTCATCGAGTTTTTTCGACACAGTATTTGTAAATTTAGAAATTTTTGAAAGCAGAACTTTTAACTTATAGACGATTCCTTATAGTAGGTAAAATTTTGAAAATCCCACCCACCCTCTCACCAAAAAAAAAATTATCTTCAGAATCTTAATATTTTAGTTAATATGCTAAATGAATTTCTTGTAATAAATCAATTTCAATTCCAAAACCATTTTAGCATAATATAAAAAGAAAAAAATGACCATATTATATATTAATCAAAACGTTGTCAAACATAGCAGAATCGTATATAATTACGGTTGGGATCAAAATAAATTTAATTATCTTTGGAAACATAATTATAACACTGTATTGACTCTTGGACTTCTCTCATCATTCTTGGACTGAGATTAAAATTATGAAAACAATATGATAGTTAGAATACCAACGGAACAAATAAGTAACTAAAATTAGATATTCCTTTGAGACATTAACGAAAATATTTTCTTCCAGAAGGGTTCTTATGAAATTTTATTAATAACAATGTGTATTTTATGTAACGCAGCATGTCATTTAACTTATAATAAGCCTTAATTATTCATTCATTAGATTTTAATTTTCAAATGATTATCTTCATCCCGCCTTTTTATACAGTCTCTAGATATTTTACTTACGTAATTTATTCCGCTACACATCTCACTTAGGATGCGCTGGAAGGAAAGTAATTCATTTTTGTGTCGAAATAAGTCTAATCTGCTCAAGACATGGGTAATTTACTAAGTCATTAGTCAAACTTCGCCTTTAATTATCCAAAGAGTTTGTTGGTTTTCATATATTTCGATGTCCTAGCTTTTTAATCAGATATATACTTTTTTTTTAAAAAAAACTTATTGAAAAGGTAGATAACGTATTTGCTATAATTGTTCTTAATGAAATTTGTTTCATTTAAATGTAATTGGACGCAATGTTAGTTTCAACAAATTAAATCAATTCTATAATTGGTATAAGGAAGTGTTTACATGGGGGAAAATTAAGTGTAAAGCTCAATAACTATATTTTAATGATTTTTAACACTTCAAATACTAAACATGGTTGCAAAGGGCCACTTTGGCCCTTTTCCAGATCGTTTGTATGTAGATCAATTAGATATCCAAACTCTTGAAATGTAATCATAACTTACAAAATAAAAATATATTATAAACTTGCTCATCGAAATTTTACTATATTTTATTCGATTTGGTTAACGAAAATGATTGATTAAATAGAACACCGACTTTTTTAATTATACCTGTATACATTAGTTTCTTACATTAATTAATTTCCTTCTCTCTATAAATAATAATTAGAGAAGTGTTCAAATACTTTTGTTTTCTTAATAATACAGGGGTAACTTGTAAGTATTTATCAACCCGAAACTACCTGGGTTTACTGGTTAACTATCAAAATACCCAAAGGGACACTCTGGGCCCTTTCGTTTAGGTATAAGGTTCTATATAGTCTATAAGGCTGCACAGTAAAAAATTCAAATAAAAAATATCGGCAATTTGGGTGCAGCATGCGCAAAATCATATTTACCGTGAAATATTACACTGTAAGTTTTAAAGTAATACTTATTTAAGAGTAAATCAGTGATTTTATTACAATTACTTTAAAAATTACTGTAAATCCTATTTTTTTGATCTGTAGCATATTCTGGTAAAAGTGAATTTTACTGTAAGAAGTACTGGCACCCTGAGTACCAATACGGTGTACCGGAATTTTTTACAGTGTAACGCATGAATGATTAAATAAGCATGTAAACTGAATCAAAATATGAGAAGCCAGAAATACTAAACACTTTTAGTTAGTTAATTTTTCGGTTTACGGAACGACAAAAAAACGAGAGTGACTTACACAGCACCATCCATCTTTCTGGCGTTAAAGAAGGTAATATTTATTCTCAAATGAGTATATGTGGTTATCTATAGTACTATTTACAGTTGTGTTTTAAATATGAAGTTTAAGTGTTGAACCGAAAAGCTTGAACTAAAAAAATTGTTCGAGCTTCAACTATTTAATTCATATTAATTCAATTATTTAGATTGAATTATTTAAATAAGGTATAAAAAAATCGTTTTAATCTAAGAAATTATAAGAACTCGTAAAGTACCTGTCGGAAAAAAAATATTGGGCTGCTAGATAAATATAATCACCTTTCGTGAAAGTGCGTACACTGTTAGAAATTTCCCTAAAAATGGTTAAAATAGCAATTTATTTAAATGCTATTTTACCATATTCAAACAAAACAGTAAAAAAATCATAAATAATATGGTATTCAAACTGTTAACTGTGAGAAAAACCGTTAATTAACCGCTTTCACGCAATACGGTTAAACGTAAAGAATTGTATGGCAACAACAAGGCCCACCCAATCTAGCCATTTAGCAGCTGGGTACATGCTATAGCTGAGAGGACTAATCTGTCAATCTTATGACTGACAGAACGGGGGTTCAAGTCCCAGCGTAGACACCACAATACTCACTACATTCCCTTCAATACATGGAGTTTCCAATAGCCTGTACCCAAATTGTGGACCCTGGACTATTAGTATACAATACGCTCATTCAAGCATAAATGGCAGCAACATAAAGCTTTTTAACACAAAAAATCTAGTATTCCCCGACTCTTACGGTAGGTGAAACAACCAGATAAACTAATTAAACCGCATTCCATGGTTCATTTAATAAAACACAATCACAACCTGCTTCCAATGCCCATTGCCTAATGAAAAACCTAGCTCCCATGTCCAGTTATATATATTTTTATGGGTTTGAAACCATGACCGACATAAATGGTTAAATGACCGTATTGTTTTGTATCCGTGGTTTTTTAAACATACTGGTTGTAAACAGTTTCAAAATCGTAAAGGTTGAAAAATGTTATTTAATGAAAACTGTACGATTAATTGGATGGACTGACTGATGTGGTTATTTTACTGTAATTTTAGAAGGAAAATTCTAACACTCTAACAATATATCAAATTGCAACAATTAAGAAATTAAAGAAAATAAAGTATTTTACAAGGGCTTATGCACATAATCATGTCTCAATGCTCAAAGTATTAACTTTTACGATCATCACATGACAATTGAAATCGTTTTTACAGTCCAAAACATTTCATATCCAAATTCTGTGTGCACAAAGTGGATCAATACACTCTTTGATAGAATCAGTGAAAAAAATCCATCCGGGGCTGGGCAAATAAATTATATAAAATCGTATAGTTATAGGAAGTATGAGTCTACATAATCTACTTGTTTTACCATAGTTATAAAATAATTATCAAACCATTTGAAATCTATTATTTTTGAAAGATTTATATGATTATAAAAAAAAATTATATTATATTTTTCAGACTGAGCAATTGACATTTCTGTGGGTTCTGTTCATCATGATTGTAGCTGGTAATAGTGCCGTGCTTATCGCTTTAGCACTTTCAAAGAACAGGAAATCAAGAATGAACTTTTTTATCATGCATCTTGCAATAGCAGGTAAGTTAACTAAATATATAAGTTAATTAAATATATAAGTTAATTAAATATATAAGTTAATTAAATACATAGCGTAATAGAAGCAGTTAGATTAATAACCACTCTCTTAAAATAAACGAGTGAAAATAACTCAACTTGAGTGCTATTTAACTCTATCATCCAGATAAAACCGGCCTTCTCATCTTGAGTTAAAATCACTCAAGTGAAAGAGTTATATGGAAATAGCTCAATTTGAGCGAAAAAAATTTAACTCAAACTTCAGTTATTTTCACTCGAGTTTGAGTGATTTTCAGTATTACCTGAGTGAATCGTTTTCACTCAAACTTGAGTGATTTTAACTCGTGATTGAGCGATTTTCAGTATTTCAGTTTGCAAATTGCAGTCAAAATTTTTATTGTTAATATACAAAATGTTTGTATTTAGTGGTTCCATCTATCGTAAGCGATAGAAAATACTATAGTTTTTGTTTAAAAAAATTCTTTTTGAAAGAAAGCCTTAGATAAAAAATTCTTTTCATTACGTTTGTTCAATTTATATATCGAATTAGCTAGTATAGTACTTGCGAAAGTTTTCGCTGTGAGCATATCGACACTGTGTATCCTGGTGATTCGAACGCGCTTCTCCTCTGTCGTGTGATTGACCGATTAACCCTCTCGGCTACAGTCCTGTGTCAAGACGGCTACAAAGAACTAATTATTTTCATGAGCTGGGTCTTGTTGGCCAGGATAAAGTTTTTATTTGTTAAATCAAATAAGGTGAAGACACAGTTAAAAAAAAATTTCAGAGTTAACAGTTTGAATAGCAGCAATTGTATACGGTGAAACAACAATTAAATGAATTATTACTTAAGAGTTTTTTTTTTATAAAAAATTCCTAACCACAGAAGATTTTAGTTTTTTTTTCTTTCCCGTAAGTTTCGTCATTTTTCTTTTAAGTTTAATTTTTAAAAGTAAGGAGCTCTAAACGAATTTTTAAAGTAAGCAGTTTTATAAATATTATGCTCATTTAGGTTCAATTGAAAATACTATGAGTTATTTTTTTTCGAACAAATTTATTCGTTTAATTTATGAAGCTTTATTTTCAAGCAATAAAAAAGGTAGATTGTTTTAGATTGCCTGAATTTTTTTAAGACAAATTTCTGAAAATAAGTGAAATTAATAAATTTTTGAAGAAGACGTCTGAAGCTGAAAAATCTGGATTAAATACCCTTTTTCAAACTCAATTTTGCAAACTCTTTTGATATAAATTTGTTTAAAATCCAAACTATATCTTTGTTTTGATTAGAAAAAAATAAGTATAATTTTTTTTCTGTAATAATCCTAGCTTAGTATGAATTTGAATAAAAAAATTAACTTATTAACATTAACTACTTGACTTTACTTTAATATTGTTTTTACCATAAACTTTGCTCAAACATAGTTTTCTTAAGTCAAAAAGAAATAAATAATAAAAATTAATAAAAACGACATTTTTAATAAAATTACTAAAATACAGAAATATTTAAATACCTAATTTTAGGCATATTTTAAACTAATTAAATTGTATCGCTTCTGAATTATAAATAATTACAATTAAATCAAGTATGTATTTTATGAATTTTAACTATTATGAATATAGATAGTGTACGTTATTTCCGTTATCAATATATATGTTTAGAATTTTTACCTAATTGTAAGAAATTAATATATAATCAAAAAGAAAAAACATTATAAAAATTTAATATACCAGCCAGGAAAGCAAGATTGAAGACATCAAACTCTTTCAATTTTACAACAATGCAAAGTAACTGCAGTTTTTCTGCAGATTCATCAGAAAGTATACTTCTGAAACAATGACTGCATAATTACTTCAAATTTACTGCAGAATGACCACGGATTTAAAGTTTCAGTTTTTTCTAAATTTATGATTTTAAAGTGACCTCACTTAAACTACAGTAATTTTGTAGACAATAGCTAAAATTTTTTCGAAATAAATTACTGAGAAATTACTTCGCATTAGCTGCAAAATAACTGCAGTGTTTTTACAGTTAAGATTGCACTACAGAAAATTTGCAGTTAACTCTAGAAAAACTACGAAATTACTTCAGTTCTGTAGAATAACTACAGTTTATTTTCAGCTGGGATATAGGTATATAAATTCAAATTGAACTATATCTCATAATAAATATTACTTTTAATTTTGCTCCTATTTTTTTACTATTAATCTATAACTATTGTAAAATTCTAATTTATTTGCATTTTCAAATACTTTAATTAGCATTGTACTTTTAATTAAATATTAATTCTGCATTTTCAATTTTGCCTCGAAAATTGAATTTGAAGAAAAGTGGTAAGAACTTTTATGCTAGCAACAAAGGAAAAATAGTTTGTATAATGTGATAAATACTTTATGAAATACGAAGATAGTATTAATTCTGAATTCCAATTAAATAAAAGCTAAAAACAGGATAAAAACAGAAAAATTCAAAATACTGCTTAATTTTTTTAAATATAATATTTTACACTTTTTCTTTGAATGATATATTTATAATAAAATGCATTGAACATCTGAAGATTCTGATTTGAATGAATGGATATTGCAAATGTGAACTTTCATAAAATAAAGACAGTCAACTTCATTAATAGAAAGCAATTTAAATAACAGCAATTATAGACTGTATGAACAATAATTTCGTAAATATCTTTTATAAAAGAAGTATAGAATGATATGAAATTAATTATCCAGAAATATTTTGTACCAAAATTATACATCAAAAAAGCTCAAACATGGATATAAATTTTTTATATTAAAATAAAATTTTAAAACTTAAATATGAAAAAAGTCTGAAACTCTTATCAGATATAATATATTTCCACATGATTTGACAAAGATTCTAGCATGGAATCAGATTTTTTTTATATTCCATAATCATTCACATTTAACGCTTTCAATTTAAAAAAAATTTTTTTGACAAATAATTTAAATGAATAGTATTTTATTAAACAAAGCTGAAAAGCAGCTAATTTAAATGGAATGTGTATATAACACATTCAAAATAAAAGTATTTTTAAAATAAAAGCAACAAGGTATATCTACTTACTAAAAAATAAAACAGCGTCTTCTTCAGAAATTGTAATTGTCTTAATTCAAAAGAAATTGTCTTAATTTAAAATATTAAATGACATATTCTCCAGAAAAAAAATTAAACGTAAAATAAAAACGAAGACATAATCTATTTAGATCACAAAACATAACAATTTTATTTAGATTTATTATCGTTTCATTTTTGAAATAAAACGAAAGAAATTACAGCTTATAGCTCGCACACAATTAAATAATAAATGAATCACTCAAGTTTGAGCTAAAAGCACTCAAATATTGCTTAATAAATACCACTCAAGTTTGAGTAAACGCAAAGCAAGAATTTCGCTCAAATAAGAATGTATTTCACTCAAGTTGAGTTAAAAAAAATTAACTCTTTTTTGAGTAGGGGAAATAACTCTTTCATTTTAAGAGAGCAGATGTAATATTGCGAGGATTATTAAAATCGAACAATATTTCATTTAGAGCTTTTAGTTCTAAGGTCTTTTGAAAGTTTGAGAGATTGCTTCCTAAAGAATTAAATATTTTTTGTTTACAAATACTAGAATATATATTTATTTTACGTATTGATAAAACACATAAACTCTATAATATAAAAAATAACAAAAATATATTTCGTGACAATTTGTGTTAACCAAAACAATGTTCTCGCCATTTTATCTTATAATCGTTTGAAATGAATCGAAATCATCTTATAATCGTTTGAATAGTTTTGAGGTTTAAAATTGATTTAGTAGCTTTATTTTAGCAAGAAAAGATTCTTCTTAAATTGTTAAAATAATTTTAAAAAGTCAAATTCCGTATTTTATCATAGCTTTCTATAAATAACTTTTCATGGAAGATCTGATATTTATATCGCTTAAAGTTATTCTTAGTTGGGGAGTTTACACCCGTCTATCAACTTGGATTTCAAGGTCAAAGTTAAAATTAACGTAATCTAATGTATGTCATACAGATGAAGTGTTTTAGTGGCCAAAACGGCTAGAAATAAACAATTTTTTAGATACAAAGATTTTAAGCTTAAGATATTGTTTTTTTACAACAGGACGTTTTAGAATTATAATTGCTAATGTCCTTTTACCTAACAACGTGGAAATTCTGAAAACTTTGATAACAATTATTATTATTTAATTATGCAACAAACCACTATTTACATCTCACCGATGTTCATAATTTTTTTTAACTGGAAACGAACTGAGAGCTACAAACTGAAATTAATTTGTATGAACTGAATACAAAATTTGTACATCCAGGGAATTTTTTTGAACGTAAATTAAAAGGAAATTTCAAAATTTCCCAAAGAATGCCAAACAGTCAACTGAGAGAGCATTCTGTCAATAGCTAAAAAACTAATGGAGGTGACTCACAGCTAGCAATCCAAGCCTATATCTAATCTTAACATGTTTTATTTGTAAAATCTATGGGTAGAATAAAATTTTATATTCGTATGATTTAAGTATCTAAATTAACTGGAATAGAAAACAAAACTATTACAATTGTAATCATGAAACTTAAAATTGATTTTCTTTTCTTGTAGATAATAAATAGACAGGACTTTGAAGCATGCTACATTAATAGAAATCACGGAAATAATAGAATACTAAAATTAAATTTTACTACTGCACTTTTAAGAAAACATGCAGATTTCGAGAAATTATAAGGTTTCATCTCTCGAACCTTTCATTACTTGAATTTAAAATCTAAACCAGTCATGTGAAACGTCTATTTTTTTATCGATTTCATTATTTTATTTAAATGTTTTTTTGGCAAGTTCTTAAAAAATACCATATCATTTTTTAATGAATCTAATTTTTTTTGCATCAAGTTGACACACAATAAAGCGAGCTATTTAAGAAGAGGTTTTCAAAATACGATCGTAAAATTTAATATTTGTAACTGTGGGGCAGTTTAGTGTTCCAAGCAAAATTCAATAATATGTTTTATTTTCACAGATTTGACAGTTGGGGTTATTAACGTTTTGACGGATATCATATGGAGAACAACAGTTGCTTTTTACGCAGATAACATAGCCTGCAAACTTATTAAATATTTACAGGTAAAGTAATTTCTATTCTAATCATTTTATTTTATTCTTATTGATTTTTTTTACCAAAAACATCGTTTGCTGAATGTTATAAAGAGAAAAAGCATTGCATTGATTAGTTTTTTTAAGTGTATTAAATTCAATAAAGGATTTGGTTTTCGATATTTATATATAAAATTGTTGTAATAGTAAGCATATTCTACTGATTAATTTACTCAAGGAATATTTGTGGAGTATTTTTCATGTTAATTGCATCAAAAAGAAAGGTGCAGAGTTTATTTCTAAAAGATCATTTTGGAAATATTGAATAAAACTTAATATTTGCTAAAATATAAATGCTTTCATCTGGCATCTTCCTGCGTTAAAAAATCACGCTATTTATTTTTAATAAAATAATAATTCAGAAATTGATGGTGGAAATTTGAACATCCTGGCAATTCTAAAATGTATTAGATAATCCGATTGTTAACTTCTTACTAGATTCATAGCATTAACTTCTTACTACAAGGCCAAAATTGTTCATAACGTCATTTTTTAAAAATAATTAATGATTGCTAAAATATAAATACTTTAATCTGGCATTTTCTTACATTAAAAATCGCACTATTGATTCCTTTAAAAAAATATTGGAAAATTGATAGAAGAAATTTGAATTTTCTGTCAACTGTGAGATGTATACCATAAACAGATTGTTAATATCGTAAGCATCTTACTAGATTTATTAAGTGCAAAACTGTAAATATCGTCATATTTTAAAAATGAGTGATGATCGCTAAAATAAAAATGCTTTACTCTGACATCTTCTTCCATAAAAAAATCACATTTTTAATTATTTTTTTAAATAATTCAAAAAATTTTTATGGAGAAACTTTAACGTCCGGTCTACTCTAAAATGTGTTCGATCATCTGATTGTTAATATTGTTAACTTCTTACCAGATTTATGAAGTGCTAAACTATAAATAACGTCATAATTTGAAAATAAGTGAGGATTTCTAAAATTTAAATGCTTTAACCTGGCATCTTCTTACATTAATAAATCACACTATGAAATTGAAAAAAGTGATTAAAGAAATTTGAACTTGCTGTCAACTGTAAAATGCATTCGATCATATCTGTTAATATCGTAAGCTTCTCACTCGATTTATGACGTCATATTTTTAAAATGAGTGAAGAAGAATCATGAAAACTACCGCGATAAATCCTTTTCTTTCTATGAGATGAAATCGTATAATATATAATAATATTTAGGAATATAAAATATTTTTAATATAATATTTAGGATTTCACGATATTTTTATAATGTTACCCGAATATCGAAGTCAATTTAGTTTTAAAAAAACTGGCTGTAATTGTGATCAAAAGACCATTAAAATTGTTTTTTCAATTAAAAAATCTCTGCAAATAATGGTAAATAGCACATTATTCAATAAAAGGAATTATTCAAATGGTGTAATTTTCTAAATTAATTGAATACTATAAAGTTAATTTTCATTATTTCTTTCGCACAAAATATATAAATAATTTTATTTTACAAAAGTGTCGTTCAGACGATTTCACTCAGATAAAAAATTTGTACAATTCTGTGAATATTCTATATTTTTTTCTCTTTTAGAATGAAACAAATGTTACCTAATAATAAATTTAGTTATTATTTATTCTAAATATATAAATCGTTGTTTAATGGAGCACAATGAAGTATGTTAACTCGAGAATTAAAATATATTTTGGAACAATAATATTAAATACGTGTTTACGTGTTTTTCATTTTACGTGTTTTTCATTTTTTATGTAATGTTATCTAGTATTACTTTGTTATGCATTATATCATGCTTGCATTAAATTATTACTGTTAAATTCTTCTTCTTTTCATAGCTATTATACCCAGACTGTTTAAATCTACAAATTAAAAACCAAACGTTCTGAAATATAATAAACTCGAAATTTTGAAATTATCATGAACATCAATGATTTCTATATTTCCTTAAAAATCTATATTTGGATTGCATTTTAACTTTCGAATTTTTTACATGAATCTTAAAATTAAATAAATTTTGAACTTTATTAGCGATTTCATTAAAAAACATTTTTCCTGAATTAATAAATTTGCAGGTCTTCACATTTCAGATCACCGCAGTTGCGTTTATTTTACAATTAAAGACCCTATCAAGTTAAATGCATTCATTTAATTTTAATTTTTAAAGTTTTTTTGAAACATTGAGTGTATCTAATTCTGTCCTTTAATGGAAAAAGGAAACAAAAATGAAAAACAATGTAAAATAAAATTTTAAAACTTAAAAGGAACGGGGACATTTGTTCTGTTTGACATTTCTCTTTCTTTTTTACCCAAATTCAAAAGAAATATATTCATTTCAATAAGATATTTATTCAGATAATGAAAATTCTCTGAAATTTATGTTAACTGTAGAAAAGAATATTTTTTTCACATATTTTATGCACTGCAATTGTAAAATAAAAAGAAAACGTGTGCAAGTATGTAAGCTTTGAAGTTGTTTGTATTTTGTTCGATTTTTTTCTTCCATTTCCGCACCAGAAAATTTCTGTGGCGGAATCGATGAATTACTTTTGTCGAAAAGATTGTATTGTTGAGAACTATTATTTAGCTAGAGTCTGATAAATGAAAATACTTGTAAGAACAGAGTTTGAATATTTTTTTGTCGGATTCCTTTGAATAATAAATCTAAATATCTTTTTCTTCCCGCGTAGTACAACTATGTTTCTGAATGTCTAGGCTGTTATTAAAATGCATGAGGTATCTTTTTTTTTGTAAAATGTGTCGAAATATTAGCTTGGAGCTTTTTTTGTTATGAAATATCTTGATACTTTTCAAAAGTTTTACATAATCATGAAACAAATATTGAAAATACGCCATATTTAGCTTGCAAAAATATTTTTGTTTACTACTATATATTATTCATTTAAATAAAACAATGAAAAATATGAATAATTAATCTCTAAGTTTTCATAGAAACAAACTAAGTTTTCAACATGAAATATAAATACTGAATTAAAAAATATTAAATTTTAATATACCTGGTGTCTTAATGACTAGAATGATATTTAGCTATGACAAGTACCATATTTAGCTAGAGTCTGATTAATGAAAATACTTGTAAAAACAGAGTTTGAATAATAAATATAAATTTATTTTACTTCCCGCGTAGTATAACTGCTTTTCTGAATGTGTAGGGTTTTAATAAAATCCATGAGCGATCTTTTTTTTTTTGTAAAATGTGTCGAAATATTAGCCTAAATTTTTTTTTTTCGTTTTGTAATATCGATACTTCTCAAAGGTTTTACATAATTATAAAACAAATATTGAAAATACGCCATATTTACCTTGCAGAAATATTTTTGTTTACGACTATAGATTATTCATTTAAATAAAACAATGAAAAATATAAATAATTAATCTCTAAGTTTTCATAGTAAATAATATAAAATATAAATGCGTTGAATTAAAAAAAATTATTCAATTTTAATATACCTGGTATCTTAATGAATAGAATGAAATTTAAATATGACAAGAGCTGCATTTAGCTAGAAACTGATAAATGAAAATATTTATTAGAACAAAGTTTGAATATTTTTTGGTGTATTCCTTTGAATAATAAATATAAATCTATTTTACTTCCTGCGTAGTATAACTGTCTTTCTGAATGTATAGGGTTTTAATAAAATCCATGAGCGGTCTTTTTTTTTTTGTAAAATGTGTCGAAATATTAGCTTTAAATTTTTTTTTCGTTTTGAAATATCTTGATACTTCTCAAAAGTTTTACATAATTATAAAACAAATATTGAAAATACGCCATATTTACCTTGCAAAAATATTTTTGTTTACGACTATATATTATTCATTTAAATAAAACAATGAAAAATATAAGTAATTAATCTCTAAGTTTTCATAGTAAATAATCTAGAATATAAATTCTGAATTAAAAAAAAATAAAATTTTTGTATACCTGGTGTCTTAAAACAGACTAGAATGATATTTAGCGATGACTATAGTCCGTTCAACGAGAACTCATATTGGAAGTAAACATAAGGATTGCTGTTTGATCGCCAACGTTTGCCACTTCAACTGTTTTTTCACATAATGGGCGATTTCATTTGAATTGACAGAGCTTTTGCTTTTATAGAATTACAAAAACGATGTTTGGTTCTTGATACCTTAAAATTAGATAAGAAAGTGCAAAATTAAAATATTTACATGAAAATACGTTTCTAATTGTTTCAGTAAACACATAATTTTGTTTTAAGAACAGTTTTAATGCTTTTTTTTAAAGTTTAGATTAAATTAGTTTTAATATATTTTGCACAAATATCTATGCAAAACATAACTTTTATAATTCCATCGTAAAAGTCGTATAGAATTGAAAGAATATGTTAAAAAAATACTCTTTAGTTTCATAATTACAATTTTTTTTTTAAATTTATTAAAAGTTAAAGAGCCTAAGTTTGAAGCCTAATTTTTTTTAACAGGGAATAAAATGCCGTTCTTTTAAAGTTTGGTAAATCAGAATCATCTCTCACAGCTTTGAGAACTTTGCTTCTTGTCGGAATTTCGTTACGGCGGAAAATATCATGAACTTTTCTTCTGACAGCATTTTTGTCGAAATCGTCAATGTCATCCAAAAAAGTTTTACGATATTTAGTCCTCTTCGGTGAATGTAATATACCATCCCTTTTATATTCTTTAATAATTCTGAAAACAGAAGCTGTGCTAACTCCCGATGCAGAAGCCGCATGGTCAGCCACATCAATGATTGGAACATCTGGTTTTGAATGCACTTCTGTTTTATAAATGTTCAATATTATTTGCTTCTCAGCTTTACTTATGTAAGATTTCTTCTGCGGATTTTTAGGAGGACTTAAATCCATAACTTTATTTTCCATATTGCTCATGAAACACCTGCAAAAAGACACCACGGCAAAACAAACAACCCTCTACAAAATAAAAGATTTTGCTTGACTGTTGGCGCTATTTGTCATTATTCCGGTGCCAAGTAGGCAACTGTATTGCGCCAAATAGCACGCCGCTTTGTTTACTTTCACTATCAGTTCTCGTTGTTGTAAAAACAAAATTTGAATAATAAATATAAATTTATTTTACTTCAAGCGAAGTACAACTGCGTTTCTGCATATCTAGGCTGTTATTAAAATGCATGAGGTATCTTTTTTGTAAAATGTGACGAAATATTAGCTTTAAATTTCTTTTCTCTTTGTTTTAAAATATCTTGAGACTTTTCAAGAGTTTTACATAATTATAAAACAAATATTGAAAATACGCCATATATTATCTCACAAAAAATATTTTTTTCACGACTATATATTATTCATTTAAATAAAACAATGAAAAATATAAATAATTAATTTCTAAGTTTTCACAGTAAACAATATAAAAGATAAATACTGAATAAAAAAAATGCTCAACTTCAATACACTTTGTGTCTCAAAAATCATCAATGATTTGAGAAATCAATCAAAGAAAAACGAAAATAGAAAGCATTGTGTTCCAGATTGTGTAAAACAACAATATATTTTTTTATAACAAAAACTATTATTTGACTCAGTCTGAGGACAAAATAAGTTGGCGTTTGTTCAAATATTTCAGTTGAAATAGTCAGATATGGTTCAGAAAACTTTTCTTTATTGTTTTTCTCAGAAAACAGCGTCATCTAGGGTTTAACTTTGTAACCAATTTTGAAACTTTGAGAAAATAAATTTTCTGGTTTTCAGAGAAGAATGCATTAAACCGAATATTTTCATCTTATTTTTTAAATTCATCTTTATAGCATGTGGTATTCATGTTGGAAAATATATGAGCTGACATTTTTATTTTCATTAACTAAAAAAAATGTGTTAAATATCACATTTCAAAATTTAAACTTTAAATCTTATACAGCGATGTAATTCATGCATTAACACTATGATTAACTTTAACCAAAATAATTTGATTAAACTAATGTTTAAAAGTATATTTGAACAGCACAGCTGAATTACTAAAGACTTGCGAATGTTTTTTGCTTTAAAAAAAATTTAAAAATACTAATGCAGAAAGTAATTTCGTTGGGTTATTTTTTCTTCCAGGCTCTTGTAACTTATTCATCGACGTACGTCTTGGTAGCCCTAAGCGTCGATCGTTACGATGCCATTGCTCATCCAATGAACTTCTCAAACAGCTGTAAGTTAAATAATTTTTTTTCTAAATCCCGGAACTCTTTTAAAACTGACATCTTTAAAAGAAATCATATCGTGTAAAATATTAAATGATGTATTGTGTTTAAGTTATAAACAGCCTCCAGTTTTCGAGGCGATTTAAATTGAAAAATAATCAAATTTTTTTGTATCGATTATTCTCTGTCTAGCGTAAGTTTTAAATAAATTATGGAACGTTGGATTCGAAAACATTTTTTCAAACAATTATTTTGTTAGGAAAGATTCAAGAAATGAAATTGTTCTTTTTTATTTCAATTTGTGTAGTATTTAGTTGAAACTATAAGAGACAATGTATGTGATGTATTGAATTAAATTTAGAGATATTAATGGGAGGGAAAAATTTTACAGTATATATATATATTTTTTATTTTATATCAGTCGTTGAACAGCCGATCAAATTTCGGGTTTATGACAAATAATGTTCAACTCAGTAGCCTTGTAATTTTGAACCAATCCAGAAGACAGGAAACTCCTATTTCAGTACCCCCAGAGGTATTGATTTGTTATTGGAACATGGAGGACTTTGCGACTCGACAGATTTAACGTGCATCAGTCACCATTTACTACACGAGGAGTCTTCGGCCGGTGGGGATCGAATCCACGAACTCTTGGACATGGATCCAGTGCCCTACCAACCAGGCTATCCCGGCCTAGCATATATATGTAACAAATATCTATTATAAGTAGCCCTTATCTATCTCTTATTATCTATCCTATCTTTCTATTATTAAATATCCTTAAATAGAAGAAAGCATATATTGTGCAAAAAAAAACTGCGTATTTTGTTAAATGGCAGATTTAATAACGTAATAGCCATATTAATACTGTACTTTAATATCTATTAATAATAAAGTTAAAAATGTGAAATGCATTTAGTGGAGAGGTAAAGATTCTTAGAATTGCCCAGCAACAGCTATTAACTTCACATTATAAATTCAAAACTACTTTCCTGCTAGTAGGAGGGTATATTGCTGATCTTGAATCTCATCAGTGCTGATCTAAAGTACTAGTACTATAGCTGATCTTGAATAGATTCAAGATCAGCAATTCAAGTCATTGGTTCTCTAGAAACAACACATGTTCTTCAGTATCGAGAATTAACCAGGTACCTACTGCAGAGAAATAAGAAAATTATAATACAATAGATCCCTGAGCACAGGACCATTTCCTCGCACAAAAATGTGACATGCTGGTACAGCCAACATAATCAAATATACAATGCTGGACTAAATATAAAATAATCTATTAAGCAAAGGCACCTGTTGAAACTGTTGAGTGGCATTCAGAAACAATGGATAATTCAAGATCTCTCTTGTTCTTCTGAATCGTCATTTCTGCTACCAACAGGCTAAGATTGCCTTGGCGAGCATCTTCACCGAATTGGTTTTTTTGACCCAACTTTTTGCTCACTCTCTGATCATAGAGAACTCATAAACACAGTCCATCTTCCCTGTAGGCTACTTCATGACTACGAATTCAACTGATATTGGTGCACTAGAAACTGTCTCAGGTAATAACTTCGATTACTCTTGTTTTGTTCGTATCCTGAATCATTGTTAACGATATTGCCGTGCTCAATTTCTGTTGTGTCTACTTCATTGTATCTTGCCTTGGCATTAGAAGTTAAAACATAGTTAAATATTATTGGAAACTATGTGTGATTTTACATTTAAACGTAGAAAACGATGCAAGAGAACTTACAAAATATCGGGGAGGGACACTAGTACGCAATGACGACGGGAAATCTTTATTTTTCTCATCCTATTAGAATTATTACAAAAAGATGCAAATTTTAATAGATGCTGAGTGAATAAAATAGAAAAAAAGTGCAGTAATGTGATTTATCTTTTCACAAAGGAGTTAAATTGATAACTGGTGATCAGTTCAATTTATAAATAAGTACCCCAGTACTAACGTTTCCAATTCTCGAACATATTTTCTGCAATAATTTATTGACTTTCATCATTATTTTTAAATTTCATTTATTTATTTCATCAGTTTTTTTATTTAATCAAAAACTGTTTTTTTAAGAAAACATAACAGTAAAATTTCACCTATTTGCACAATTTTAGTTAGAGACACAATCCTGTGTAGGTTATTATTTATTTCTAATCCGCAAAAAAATTGTTTTATAATGAATTCAAAAACTTCGATTTGAAAATGCATCCATATTAATTTTATTTGCGTGTTCGTTACTTAGCATCAACTACATCGATTGGTGCTTGGATATTTAAATGTTGTTTGCTGTTTAAAATTGTGACAAATATTTTAGAAAACTTACTGCCAAAAAAATAATTTTTCCTAAACACTCTTTCCATAACATGTGTTTTTGATTGGCAGAAGATTTGATATTGTTGTGAAGAATACCTTCCTTTTTAAAACAGTTCATTTTGTTATGCGTGTTAGCATTAGTTGAAAACCCTCCAAACTCCCAAATTTCATTATAAATTATCTATTATTCATGATTCTAGAAAATATATGCCGTTTTGATCTCTGATATCATTTTGTTCTGATTAAAATGAAGTGTTTGGCAAAAAATATATTAAATAAATCAATTGACCACTTAATTTTAGAGTCAAGTTTAAGAATTTTAGAGTTTTATAAATGCAAATAATTGAATTATTGCCTGCATGTTTGTTGACAATAAAAATGAGAATTATTCTACACTGCTCAAAAAAATTAGGGGAGCCATGTGCTCCCCTAATTTTTTTGAGCAGTGTATATACATATATATCTGCATAGATATACACTGCTCAAAAAAATTAGGGGAGCACATGGCTCCCCTAATTTTTTTGAGCAGTGTATCTTCGCTACTGCGCACTTTCAGTCATATAAGCTATACTATTAGGAGCATGATTTAATGCTGATTAAAAACCCAATACAACCTCCTCCCAACAACAAAAAAAAAGTTTGAACACAGTGCGCTAAAATAAATTATATCACTATCTAATAAGGAATTTAATGGTATTTGTTATCAAGAAATCTAAAACAACATAACTTGCAAAACTCAAAATAATATAGAGCACAAAGAAAAATTTGCTTCAATTTCCCACAGCTTGATTTTTATGGTCGAGTCACTAATCTTTTCAAGGCAAATTGAACTGGCTTTTTGAAAGAATTTAATTTTCAGTTTTTAATATGCCCGAGATTTCGTACAACAAAATGAACAATCAATGTCAATGAGACCTAGGTAATCCGGGTTCGAGCCCAGTGATAGCTGGTCAATTCGAATTCCGCACTCTGCTCGCACAGACCCAATTGCTGATGTAAAATATCCTCAGTGGTAGGCGGATGATGTGTTAGAGTCCCCTTGCCGTCAAGCTATTAGTTGAAGGCTCTCGTGGTTTTCCTCTCCATGTAACGTAATTGCAGGTTAGTTCCGTCAAAAAGTCCTAGACGAAGGCAAATTTCACCCGTTACTTGATCCAGGTCTTCTTACTTGTGTTCAAAATTACAAGGCTACGGAATTGAATATTAGTAGGCGTAAACACTTAATCGGGTCTGTTGTTGAGCGATGATAATAAAATAAAATATTTGGAGGCTTTGGGAGTAGAGCATTTGCCTTCCAATGAGGTGGCCCGGGTTCAAATCCCAAAGCTGGCTGGTCGATACGAGTTTTGCACCTGGCTCGAACCGACTACAGTTTTAACGTAAAATATCCTCAGTGGTAGACGGATCTTGGGTTAGAGTCCCATTGTCGTCAAGCTAACCGTGGAAGGTTTTCGTGGTTTTCCTCTCCGTGTAACGTAAATACGGGTTAGTTCCATCAAACAATCCTTCACAAAAGCAAATTTCTCCCAATACTTGATCCAGAAATTCTCACGTCTTCCAGATTGGACAATTACAAGGCTACGAAGTTGAATATTAGTAATCGTAAACCCAAAATTGGTTCGGCTGTTCAACGATGGTTATAAAACTAAATACTATCAATAACAACTATGACACAATTGGTGTCTCACTGATATCCATGAGTGTTTTACACTGAAAACATTCGTATCACTATGTATAAGAAAATTTGTTTAAACGTAAACTAACTCATGGTTAATATGGCAGTTTTAGATTTTTCTAAAGAAAATTAAGCAGCTCTATTCAGGCAACAGTATAATCTGCACGGAATAGCTACGAAATAATGATAGTAGCTTAAAAAACACCGATTTAAAAAGGATTTTTCATTAGATAATTGTAAAAAACTATTTTTATATAATATTATCTAACTCTCAAATATTTTTATGATTGCTGAAACATATTGAAGACAAAACTCAAATGTTAATAGTTAAAGGCAGGTCAAAAATACGTTTAAACATTCAATGATAGTTCATGAAATAAACTTATACAGGATATCTTCAATTACTTGCGTTTAACACATATTTTAGAATAATTATGGAAATTTAAACAAGAAAATGTAAAAAATGAGGACTAAAAATCTACACACTCGGGGTACAAGTGAGAAAGAAAACAAAACCCTTTTTCGAAATATGACTGATTACAGTTAAGGAAGATGGATGGCAAATCAGGAAAACTTATTTGATTTGATAAGAAAACAGAGGGGGTTGAAAAACTATTATTTGAAACGCTTCCAAGTTCAAGTGGTGATCAAACAAGCTGTTATGCATTTTAGAACGTTTTCTCCTAATTGTGGTTTGGTAGATTTCAACAATGGTTCTATATTTTTCTCGTTTAAATATAACTTTGAGACATTTAATGTGTAGATATTTTTTAAAGTTCAAACTGTGCTATCAATGCGTATATTTCTTAAAATAAAATTTTCCTCCAATTTTCTCCCGGAAATCGAACAATTATGAGGTAAACAAGACAGCGGTTAAACGTGATAGATATGCATTTACCAATGCTTCGACTGCGATCAAGCAGATGGCGTTGTTACATTGATTGCGCAAAATGGAGGCAAATCGCTCAGTGTGTTACTGGAGTGCTGGACTTTAGGGAATGTTGAAACCGTCAATGCTACGTGGAACTAATACACCTTTGTCGAGTACTGAAGAAGGCTATTAGTTAAATGTAGCCAGGCCACCTCAGATCAGGCTATCTTTTGTTAAATGATAAAGCGAATATCGCTGACAGCAACAAAATATATCATTGCAATTCATGTAGGGGAGTGTTTTAATCATCGACTATGCATTCCTGATCTCTCACAGGATTTGAAGAAGAATCTCAGTTGAGTATGCTTGAAATCACACTGTTGAAGTGACACGAACCGTTCAGAGCTTCCTCTGTGTGCAGAGCCCTGATTTTTTTTCTTCCTCGATGCCTTTTTGAAGCTTATAAAGTGATATGATATGACAACTGTTACATCTTTGGTAATAATGTGGGAAACAAAGTTTCAGCTTTTTAATATCTCATCATATTTTTTGCCTCTCATACACACCTCTGCTCATAGTTGTCAAGGGAAATTTATTTTTAGACTCTATATTTATTTAATACGAGTGGATCATAATCTGGATTTAAGAAAAATCTTTACTTTCAGGAACGCCTCCCATTTTTACTGGACGTTTGGGTTTGGAAATTTCTTGTTATAGAAAAGTAATTTAAAGAAAAATATTTTTTTCTCTACGATTAATGATTATATTAAAGAATGTAACTAATTAAAATTTCAGAATTGCATGTTTGCTCCTTATATAAAAAATTTTTTTAAATAAATTCACAATTTTTTTTAAAACTCAATAACTAAATTTTACTCTATAGGTCAATAAACAACAAGCAAAACAATTTGCAACTGATTCTCAAGAAAATTTAAAAACATAACAGTTTTTTTTTTGTAATCTATTGTATGTTTTTTTTCAGGGCGTAAGGCTAGAATACTAGTTGCATCTGCTTGGGCTCTTTCAGCTGTATTTTCAATACCATCAGCTTTCTTGAGTTCTAAAGAAGAGGTGAAAGGCATGTCTCAGTGCTGGATTGACCTCCAACCATGGCAGTGGCAAGTTTATATCACTCTGGTGGCAGCTAGTCTCTTTTTTCTACCAGCGCTAATTATAGCAGCTTGCTATACTGTCATAGTTTACACTATTTGGACCAAAAGTCGAATAATGAGCTATCCCAAGCTATCCAAATCATCCTCAATTGTAGCGGATAGCAAAAAAAGTAAACAATATTGCATTTTTTCTTTATTTGTAACGGTGTGTTTTACTGAAATAAAGCCACCTTGACTGTGCGCCGTAAATGGACTAAGAAAACATGTGTATTAATGAAATCTATATGCTAATACATATTTACAAAATGTAACTCAATTACTGTCCCACCTTTGAAGGTGGAAAAATCGAATATGATAAATAGGAGGGGGAAATGTCCCGCCAGAATAAAGCTGTTTCTGTTAACAGCGCATATGTTCCTCGCATTTATCTATGACTTGAAACATACGGTACTGATTAGCATATTCATTTGCATATTCAATTTTTCGTCTGGTAGAATGTGATTTACTCCCTGTTAATTAGTATATGTATATAGATTTACTTAATATGTGTGTTCCATTCTCTTTTTGTCCATATATATCACAAGGGTCAAGTTGAAGTCAAGAGGCATAAAATCAAGGCAAATTTATTTCAGTGGGATACAATCCTTTTTTCTGGTAACATAAATAAAACGTTCTGTATGTAGGACTGAATATATTAAAAATAGATCAGCCGTTAATGAAAGCATTACCGGAAAGAAATTAAAATCGTGCTCCAGTACACCTTGGCAACATCTTTTGATTAACTTCTTGAACAAATCAAATTCATGATGGCAGTGATTTAGTCGTAGATAAATAATGCACGGTGTAAGTTGGATTAATTATTTCAAAAGGTATTTTCGCACCCACATAATATATTTATCCGAATTGACTACTAAGCTGAACGTCGGGCTGAATAAGAATGTGACGATCATTCGAATGTGATCCCTTTGATTATCGTGCATATATGAAGTCTAAGATTTGCATCAAACAAGCATCAATTTTTTGAGAACTTGAAAAAAGACGTAGTGAGCAACAGTTCCAAAATTTTATAAAAGCTTGGTACGTGTCTAAATTTTATAACTATTATGTAATCTAAGTGCTTACTCTTATGAAGAATTTTACTATTTTATCATAGTAAAGTGTTTATTATTGACCGTGTTACGTTACCTCCTAGATAATATTATATATTCGGGCATTTTGTTTTTCAAACGTTTTTCGCACAATTTGTTAGGACTTCACTGTTAGTCAGCTTTACTCATAAGGTTCAAAAGCCATGAGTTTATCAATTATTTGATTTTTTAAAAAAAAAAATCAAATTATTGATGGTATAGCTTTTCCAAATCGGAATTTTCAGTTAAAGAAATTGTTACAAGAAATTTTCATCTGATAAAAAACTTAATCTTGCTTATTACAAAATTTAGATTTAATCCTATTTACTAGCAAAAGAGGCACTAAAAGATCAAATTACTTTCTCCATAATATTTCTAATTCTTTAAACTTTGAAAATGTTTTGTTTTAATTGTCTGCAAAAATCTCGAGAAACGATTGCAAAGTTTCTGGATATTTTTTATTTACACACTGTATATAAATAAATCAAATTACTCTTATTTAAAAATATCTAACTGCAAATAATATTAATATTATCTTAAATGAATAATGTTCAGAATTTGTTGAAAAAAGTGGTTTCTGTCTTAAAATTATTGAGTAAATTAAAATACAATGAATTTATTATCAGATAAATTAAATTTAATCTTTCCATTTGCGAAAATGATGCCCTTTACAATTTGCATTTTATTTTCGCCTCGAGTCTGAAGATTTATTTCTTCCCAAATACAGCTTAACGAATTATCTATATTTACTATTAATCAAAATCTGATCCGATATTAAAAACAAGTTTCATTCCAATTTACTCGAAAGATTTATGTTTGAATCTCTTATATTTTACTTCTAATTATCTTCTCAAATTTCTAAGGAGCACGAATCTATTATACTGAATTTAAAAGCAGAATTCAAATTAAATTAAAACTAATGCCTCAAAAACGATACTGCTAATTTAAAAGTACACACATTAATGTTGTACTTTATACGAAGAGAGATTGTAATAGTTAGCGGATTACGAATTGCTTTCAAAACCGGGGAATAAAGAAGCTTTCAACAAAATTAATGACTACTTAGTCCCTTCTAATGTAAAGTGCTCTCAAACCTAAGTCGGATGAAGACGAGATTTAAACTGAAATAGAGAAAATATGCTAATTAAGACCGCTTTTAATTTATTGACACTTTGAACCTTTATTGACAGTAACATACATCCTCGCTGTATCTATTAGCAGTTATTTAAAACCTTGATCTAACACTAGTTAGAATAGCACACTTTGGAAGCATGTATTTTCTGATTTTATATATATATATATATATATATATCGATTTAGGGTTTACGACAACTAA